GTGCCCTATAGCAAAAACCTCTCCACAAAAAAAAAAAAAAAAAGGAAAGAAATTAGTATTAATTCCAAATAGTATCATTACTAAAGAAATTTAAAAAACGTGTTGCGATGTGGCAGAGTTAACTTCACCCATGCTTCTATTACCAGAGTGGAAGGAGATGTGGCAGGCCATTGTACGGACTCACGGTTTTACTTTTTTATTTTGAAAACATTTGAGTGTCTCGATTACATGGCTGAGGTGGTGATGCGTAACCAGTATTTTCCGTGTCCCATGAAGTCCTCAGGTGTCGCTCTTCAGCATATCACAGGGAATAATTGGCAGTTAGCTCTCGGACCTCATGGCGCGGCCTACGCTCCCCTGCACGCATCTTGTCTTTGCAGGGTGCTGTGCACGTCAATGACAGGGTGGTCCCCCAGCCTCCTCTGCAGAAGCTGTCTGCGGAGAAGTTGACGAGAGAAGGCGCCTTCCTCATGGACTGCGGCTCCGTAAGTACCTCAGCTGACAGCCCTTCGCTCTGCCTGACCTGAGGAAACACACACGTGTGCAGGCACACACAGTCACACGCCCAGGCCAGCTCTGTCATCACAGAGCAACGCAGAGAGCTGAGGTAGGAGCCAGGAGGCAGTAAATTGAGAACTGGTACGGGGAGTCAGTCCACTTTAAACTCTCTCGTTGGACATTGTTTTATCATAGCTAAGAAATTTTGTCATTATTTGCTATCATGGGTTATATGTGCTTGATAAAGAGAAGTAAAGAGAGAGATTCCAGTCTTCAAGGACTTCACCACCTAGAATCATCCAGTTCACAAGAGTGTCCAGTTCAACTTCCATCCGTCATCAGAACCCCCGTTAGTGGTGGGAGCTGAGAAGTTAGGGGCAGGGTGGTGGTGCCGGGTTTCAGAATGACACAGTAACTTCAGAACGATAGGTTCAGAGCAGGACAGGATGCTGACAGCCACAGCTGAGGGGACTCCCAGAGGGACAGTAAGCGAAGGGGGCTGGGGTCTACCAAGTCAGGCATCCCAGGTGAAGCACTGTACTTCTACTGGACGTCAGTGGAGGGGGAGGTAAACCGATTTTATGTGAAGCTGTAAAATGTAAACAGTGGGGGCCAACACATGGTGTGGTGGTTAAGGTGCTGGGCTCCCACGTGGTTGACCGTGGTTTGAGTCCTGGACCCAGTGGCTTGAAAACCATGCCCGGCGCCTGTGCATGCGTGCCCCAAATCCCCCGAGGGGTAAGAGAGAAGGAGGGGTTGTGGCGTGGCCATCCCCACCAGGTGAGCGCTCACTTCCCTCTCACTGTCCCTTCCCAGCAAGCGCTCATGCCCTGCGTATGGCAGGGCCCTTTAGAAGGAGACAGATGTGGACTCCAGACCTGGGCGCAGACTTGCAGCATGTAATGGAAGGCTTCCTGCCGCCGTGTCTGAGGGCGCGACCTCTCTGCCGCGAAGTGGCTGGCCGGGCCTCCCCAGCTGGTGGGAAGTCTGACGTCCTGTTGCTTTTTGGTTTTAGGTGTTCTACATTTGGGTCGGAAAAGGCTGCGACAGTAATTTCATAGAGGACGTGCTTGGGTACCCTGATTTTGCATCGATACCACAGAAAATGGTCAGTGGATTTTACAGAACTTTGCTTGCTCGTTGTTAATTTGTTTAATTGACATACAGTTTAAAATGCACCATTCCAATCTTCTAAGGTGCACTTTTTGGTCTATTCAGATGTTGTCCAGCCACCACCACCGTGTAATTTGTGAACACCTCCGTCACCCTAAAAACGAACCTCAGTCTCCTCCCACCTCTCTCCACGACCTCCGCGCTCACTTACTCCCGTCCGGGTCTGCCTTCTGCCATACCATACACGTGGGCTCTCGCATGTGACCTTGCGTTGCGTTCTTTCCTTAAGGTTTTGGTCACTTTCTGTAATGTTTTTAAGATTCATTCATGTTGGGGCCAGCAGGTGGCATAGTGGTTAAGGCACTGGATTCTCACAGGGCCAGCCACAGTTCAAGCCCCAGACCTGGAGGCTTAAAACTCATGCTGGGCGTGTGTGCATGCATGCCCAAAATCTCAGGAGGAAAGTGGAGAAGAAGGGATTGCAGAGTGGCTATTCCTCACCAGGGAGTGATTTCTTGCTTTCTGTCTCTCTGTCCAGTGAGCACACATGCCCTATAGCAAAAATCTCTCCTTAAAGAAAAAAAAAAAAAGATTCATTTATGTTCTAACTTTTTACTTTTATCAATACTTCTTTTTATTTTTTCTTATGACTAAAAAATAGTCCGTTGCATGGATATACCTCATTTTACCGACCTGTTTCTCCACTGCTGGGCATTTGGGTCATCTCTGGTTTTGAGCTGTTGTGAGTAGTTGGCGCTCAGACGATACCTGTGTGCCGTGTCCGTGTGAGTGCAAGTTTTCAGTCTGTAGGGTAACCACCAGGGTGCAGTTGCTTGAGTGGGTAACTGTTTAACTCCACGAGGAGTGCCAGACTTGTCCAACAGCTTAAACTTTTTATTTAAATTATTGTGCTGATAATAGTGAACTCTCAGTGGGCCACTACCAGGTGTGTAAAGGCAGGGTTCTGAAAGCAGTTCTGCGTTCCTAAGGCATTGAGGGGGCCTGCCTCGCTCTTTGATATGACAGTGTTCTTTTGCCTGCATGTAATGTAAATTTCATGCACTCCTCATCACAATCTATCTTACCTACCAGAGGGCGTGTGCACTCACCAGAGAGGATGAGCACCCCAGGGGCGCGTGGTCACACGGTCCTTCTTTCATTCCTGTCCTGTCTGGGTTCAGAGCTGCACATACATGGCTGGTGTCTTTTTTCAAGCCAAGACTGGGATTCAAACCCCCGTCGGCCACGTGGGCTCCAGCTCCCTGTGTAGTGTTTCCCTGCTGTGCTGCAGGGCCAGCCCTGACCTTGTTTTAGTTGGGCAAAGTGGACTAGGGTTCCTTTCATGAGGATAGTAAGAAAATGTTTGAAAAGGGCGAATATCGTCAGCCAAGGGGAAAACCTCATGGAAAGGATCCCGCGGAACCGCAGAACCTCGTTCTGAAGCTGTGGTTACCAGGCACTGTGGCTCTGGCCCAGTGGACAGAGCAGAGAGGAATAGGTTCAGAAATGAATCTACGTCATGAAAAAGAGAGTCGTAAAGATTAAAGATGACGCTTCTTTTTTTTTTTTTTTTTTTTTTTTTTTGTGGCATGTGCGCTGACCAGAGAGAGAGACAGAAAGCGAGAAATCACTGCCCCGGCGGGGATGGGCACACACACATGCGCCCGGTATTAATTTGAAGCCACCGGGTCCAGGACTCTAACCGCAGTTTGTTCATTTGGGAGTCCAGCGGCGTAACGATTATGTGACGTACTTATTATTAAACATATTTTATTGACTTACTCAGAAAAATATATACAGATTTTTTAACAATCAGATTTCATTTGCTTGCTGCTGTTGGTGTGGAGAGCAGTTTTGGCAGTGGGAATCATGATTTATTTCTAATACCACTAACGTCCATGAGAAAGGAAATCACTTCCTCTTTCTTTTACCAGACACATCTTCCCGAGTTAGACACTCTTGCATCAGAAAGAGCCAGATCCTTCACAGCCTGGCTTAGAGACAGCAGGCCCTTCAGCCCAGTTCTTCATGTGGTGAAGTAAGTACCTCGGGGAGCTGATTCCGAGGTCCTGGTGGGAGAATATCGTTACATGGCTTACATCTCACGTTCTGTGTTCCTAAAGTCCATGGATTAGTCATTTTTGAATATATAGTTACTCTTATTTAATGATACACATTTGAAATAAATGCTTATTTCTCTTTCAGAGATGAAAGCCCGGCCAAAACGGAATTTTTTCAGCATCTGATCGAAGACCGGACTGAAGCCGCGTTCTCTTACTACGAATTTTTGCTTCACGTCCAACAGCAGATTTGTAAGTGAAGTGGAATGCAGTCGTATGAGAAGAGATCCACGACCCAGGGAGAGCACAGCCTGTCAGAGAAGCACCTAGGAATCCAAAGTGAAGACCTTCGTTACTGCAAGGCACCGCGCGGCTCCGTGTGCGGCTCAGCAGGGGCTGCGGAGGGAGCACAGGCAGGTTCTCTCCACCGGGGAACAGCAGCGAAGGCGCTCTCTCGGCCAGTGCATCTCAGTTGGTTTCTGCATGGTTCCAGCAGGGGCAGCCACACCCGCTCTGCTCTTCGTGGGCCGCAGACTTCCGTAGCTAGGTGGGATGACACGTCATAACGTAAGATTAGATGAATTCTTTTTTCTTATAATTAATCTGACATTTCTGGACTTGAACTCTGACAAGAGATGCCAAGAGGCAGTGGTACCGTGTTATCTGTTTATATCAATTACTTTTTAAAAAGGAATGATTCGTATTCATTAAATGAATTCAGCATTTCTCCTGTAAAAACAATAGTTTCAGTACATGAACTATAGACATATATATATATATATATATATACACACAGTGTACATACGTGTTACATTTGTAAAGAAAATGTATAAATGTAACTACAGAATATGAATCGCTTAAGCTGTGCTGCCTTGTTGGATGACAGCTTTTTTGTCACAGTTAGAGAATGGGGTTGACTGATGTGTATTATGAATTGAGTCCACAAGAGAAACACAAAGATCTTTGTAATTCTGTTAAATCTTTTATGTGGATTTATTTATGATCAGCCTACTAATTAAAAATATTTTGCTTGACAATATGGTGTAGTGTTTGTTTGTCAGGGCTGGTGTTTTTTCCTTTTTTTAACCTGTAAGATATGTTTTATTTTCTACTTGGCGTTTTGATGTGACAGTCATGAGTCAGTAAGTGTTCATCAGGCTGTGAACCTCACTGTCCTGGTACTTTCTGTATTCTAGAAGCAAGCAGAACTGCTTTCAAAATACTGTCATGTAGTTACTAAGTAAAACCCATCTGTCTGTCTAAGAGAGTCTCCCCATATCGCAGTTGTCTTGCCCCACCTCCCAGTGGGACAGAGGACCACGGTGCCCAGCCCTTTTCTGGACAAGACTTCGCCACATTGCCCAGGCCAGCCTCACGCTGACGGTGCTGTCGCCACCTCGCCAAGTCCCTGGGATCACAGGCACAGGCCGGCACACCGCCTGAAGGTTGGACTGGGACTCCCATGCAGCCTCCCTGTGGTCCCTGCTGTGGTGTGCACCGCTGCGGATGGGCCCAGTGTAACCTTCCGGTACCTGGACACACTGTGCAAGACGAAGTCAGGGTAGTGGCGTGTTCATCATCCAAGCCTTGGAGTAAAATAATTGCCCTTTCTCCACATTCTTGCTCAGTTTGTTATTTTTTTCTCCTTATGATGATAATACCTTTTTTTTAGGTTTTTGCCATAAGGCACATACATGCACTTGCAGAGAGACAGAGAGAGGGAAAGTGAGAGTTTCTCCCACAGGGAGGATGGCCACACCACAATTCCTTCTCCTCCATTCCCCTCCTAGAACTTTGGGCACGCACATACATGTGCCCAGTGTGATTTTCGAGCCTTTGAGCCCAGGACTCAAACCACAGTTGACCATGTGGGACCCAGTGCCTTCGCCTCACCACCTCCTGTCCTGGTAATGGCCATTTGAATTGCTGTGATGAAGTGTTCGTGGCTGGCCTTTCCCCCCAGTTGGCATTTTCCCCTACACTTTCTGACCAGTTTGTGTCTTTAACAAATGTCTCTTCTGATCAGTTACCAAATTTTAAATCAGATTATTTATCTTACTGAGTTAAGTGAGTTCCTTGTATATACTGGTTGTTAGTTCCTTGTTGTGTATATGAAGAGTCTTCCAAAAGTTAATGGAAAATATATAATTATGGGAAAAGCTCCACATGGATTTTAAAATTTTTGGCAGCAAAATAAACTCATGTTCCCATTTATTTTTTCATGAAACTTTCTGAAGTCTCTCACGTGGTTTGCAAATTTTTGTCTCATTCTGTAGGCTGTCTCTTGATTCTGTTGTTACCTTTACTATCCAGAAGCTTTTTAGTTTGTATGTTTTTGGTTTTGTTGCCTGTGCTTTTGAGATCTTACACACTCTTTGCCCAGATCAGTGTCATAAAACTTTTCCCCTGTGTGTTTTCCTACTAGTTTGGAGTTTTTGTTTTTAGTACGTTTTTTAAGTTTTTTTTTTTCCTTCTATGAGAGAGAGGCACCCCAGACAGGGTCTTCACACAGTGACACACCCCGCCCCCACCAGTCTAGATCGCAGACACCTGTTTGCACCCGACATGTTCCAGGAGACTTCAGGGTGTGTGTCCGGGACCTCTTCACTGGGTCCAGCCCTCAGTGTTGAAGTGTTTAACCTGTTTTGAGTGTTTTTGTATGTTGAGAGAGGGTCTAATTTCATTCCCAGAACCATTTCTTGACAATTCTGTCCTCTCCCCTGTGAATACTCTCGTCAGCTTTGTTGAAAATCGCTTGGCTATGTATATGTGGATTTCTTTCCGGGTCTCCTATTGGTCTGTGTCTTGTCTTTCTGTCTGGGGCAGTACCGTGTTCTCTGGCTATTACGGAGCGTGCGCTGAGACCAGTGTGTGATACAGCAAGCTTTGTTCTTTCTGCTCGAAGTTACGTTGGCCACTTGGAGACTTTGGTGATTCCATTAAAATAATCTTTTTTCTATTTCTGTGAAGGTTGCCACTGGTATTTTGATAGATATTGTATTGCAGCTAGGTTGTTTTTAGTAATATGTACATTTAAACACTGTCAGTTCAGTCAGTTCATGAATGTGGGATGCTTCCATTTTTTGTGTCTAATTCAAATTTTTATCAGCATTTTATAATTTTTTTTCTTTTTTTGGAGAGATTTTTGCTATAGGGTGCTTGTACTCGCCAGAAAGACAGAGAGACAGAAAGCGAGAAATCACCCCCCGGGGGGATGGCTATGCCGCAATCCCTTCTCCTCCATTCTCCTTTCAGGATCTTGGGCCCGCATGCACATGCACCCGGCGTGAGTTTAGGCCACCAGGTCCGAGATTCGAACCACAGTTGAGTACATGGGAGTCCAGCAACATAGCCATTATGCTAACTGCTGGTTCCAGCATTTTATAATTTTTGTTGTAGTTTTTTTTTTTCTTTTAAGTTTTCTTTAAATTTACTCCTAGGTACTTTATTAATTTGTAGCTACTGTAGTGGGGATTACTATCTTGATTTTTCATTAGTTCATTGGTGTATAAAAACACCGTGGATTTTCGTGCATTGCACTGTTATCTCGCAGTGTGATGTGATTCATTCCTCTATGCTCAGCTAAGTTTCTCCCGATACAGGACCGTGCTGTCTGCACAGGGGCAGTGGCTTCCTGCGTCCCCGTGTGGGGGCCCTGCATTTCCTCTCTCATTGGTTTGCTCTAGCAAGTACTATGCTGCGTAAGAGGAATGAGTGCACCTTGGTCCCCTGTCTTAGAGGAGAAGCTGTCAAGCTTTCTCTGTTCAGTATGACGCTGCCTGTGGGTTTGTCACGTATGCTCGTCGTCGTGTTCACGTACATTCCT